ATAGTTAACGACCGCTCTATATATGATACCCCTCCAGCCGGCGAGCCTACACCGCCGCCCAACCAGCAGCTGCCTCTCCGCAAGGGTTCTGACGGTCCTCGTGAGTCGGTCATTTCCACCGCCATCCGCGATGTGCAAAGAGGCATGCAGAACCCGCAATTCAACCTACAGCCCCCACCTGGGCGAATCGCACCTTCTACCACATCTGTCCGATCATCGGTTGCCGAATCGATGATGGACCGCGTATATATGCCCCCGCCGCTCTCCCCAAAGCGGTCCAAATCTCCTCTCCTCAGCGGTAAGGAGTCTGAGCCCGAGGAGTATGGCCGGTTATTACGACCACAGCAGCCCGTCAAGTCAAATCACCAGCGAGTTCATAGCAACGAGTCAACATCATGGCTTGACACTATTGATGAGTCTGGTGGATCATCGTGCTCTTCTTCGGTCCATTCCATGTCTCCTGGGGGAGTGCGCCGAAAACACATACGAAATAACAGTGGAGGAACCGAGGCAGAATTCGATGCGGCGCTTGATGCAGCCGTCGAAGCTGCGTACGACGATGGATATGAACCTTATGATGACGACATTTCTACACCCGGCGATTTAATAGCGACTAAGTTGCGTAACGTGGAACTGGCCAAGGAGCGCGTGCGGGAGGCGGAACGCGAAGAGGCCATTGCCGCGGCCAAGTATCGTTACAAAGAGACGCAGCTCCGGGGCGAGGGCCTTCCGCATGTGCGCGAAAGCGCCGAGATCAGGTTCAACGACGAGGCAGAAGAGGAAGAGCGGTTGCTAGACGAGATGACGCGAGAGTACATGCTGGATGGGTTTGATTTCGATCTGCAGACAAAGTCTTCGTTACCGCGGCAGTCAGACTCGAGTGGCTTTTCTGGAAGCGCGTACAACAGCTCCGTGTCGTCACACAGAACGACGGGTGGTACGTCACTCTCGACCGTTGCAGAGTTGATGCACCCGACATCCAAGCAACCACCCGCTCATTCCCCGCCCGCGGTGCCTGCTCCATCTGGCGCTCTGCCTGCCTTGCCTACGGTTCCCGAGTCACAAGCACCGCAAACGATCGACACCGCAGAAACCACACCACGGCCCACTACTGCAACCAAGGACGCAGCCTCAGTACGAAGTCGAAGGTTATCGGGACAAAATGCAAAGTCTTTGAAAATAGAGACTTCTGTACCGCCTGTCCCGCCTGCACCTCACACGGAGAAGCCTCCGGTACCAGCTAAGGATGCGCCTACCGACCTCCCCGTCCAACCCAAGTCGGCGGCACCAACATTCAGCACCACCAAGCCTACCCTGGACTCCGCGTTCAAGCTTCCCGCGCTGCCGCAAGCGTCCCAACAATCTGGTCTTCGAGCTCCATCACCTCAGCCTACCCTATACAGTCCCGCCGAAACTGCTGCCACGGTCTCACCCGCGACGCCCGCCCTCGGCCATGCTGTTTCTAACGAGGCTGGTCTTGTACCAGGTTCGCCAAAGACCGGAAAAACCTCAGCGATGGGAATCAGGAAGAACAAGTCCTCTCTCAGCCTGAAACAGCGCAACTTGTCAATATCCAGCCCAGATGGCTCAGATGCATCCATAGGAACGCCACTGAGCACGACATTTTCCATTACGGGCAGGAAACCCAGCAATGTCAGCCTGGCAATGCCAACGCCCAGCGTCCCCACATTCAACGTCGACGGTCTACCGAGTGGAGGGATGCACTTGTTCGAGAGTGATATCCACTCACCGTTCTCGCCCGGTTCGCCAAGCCCAGCCATCACGAACGCCCCGATCCCTCTGGAGCCATGTCCGGATTCGTACCTCCTGAGACCGTTCTGGTTAATGCGATGCTTCTACCAGACTATCGCGCATCCCCGCGGTGGCTATCTCTCAACTAAGCTCTTTATTCCCCGCGATGTCTGGCGAGTAAAGGGTGTCAAGCTAAAGAACATCGAGGACAAGATCGCCAACTGCGACATGCTCACAGCAGCGCTTCAAAAGCTAGCGTCTGTGGATACAAACGACGCGGATGCTGTCCTGGAAGAGATGCAGTCTTTGGAACTAGTGCTCGACCAGGTGCAAGCCCAGCTAGCAAAGAAACTAGGCAATGAAGTCGGTGTACAATCCGTAACCGCACTGTTCAGAGATGCGACCACTGTCGGCGAAGGTGCATCGTCAACAGACGCCTCCGGCAGGCATGGCTCCGTGGACCACCAACACAAGGGTGCTGTTGCCCAGGGCAAATCATACCTTGCTTCATGGCGGAAACTCCGATCAAAGAACTCGGGCGTCAACCTCGCGGGCATGGCTGGTGGTGCCAAGAGTGCAGAAGTGCCCAAGGACACGCTGATCATGTCCACCCTTCCCATGACCAACCTCCCCAGCATCCGCTTCGCCAAGCGAGACATTTCCGGTGTTGTGTTTGAGGGGCCTAATGCAGGGTACATGGGTTCTTTGGCAAGGCTATTCGATGCGGTCCAAATATTGGGTACGTCTTCTACATATCCTTTCATTCTGATTTGTATCTCAACTAACAACGCTATAGACCAAATCGCCCGCCAAGTCGAAGACCCAGGTCTCAAGCATTCCTCCCCCACCCACGTCGGTCTCGAGCTATCAACCCGCCACGCCGCAGAGTTCTTTGGCTTCTACATCTGCCGCTTCGTCCTCACCGACGTCACCATGATGTTGGATAAATTCATCAAGAGAGGCAGTGAATGGGTTTTGGTCTAAAACAGAGAGCGCAAGCCTGCCTACCTGTATGTGAATATGCTTCTTTCCACTTCAATGCAAGGGATTTGTAATGAGACGGACATGTTCTTTGTTTCCTCAAGCGTTTTGTACCAGGTGACCTGTGGAAATAGGTCCGGTCTGGTCGGGTATGAATCCATACATATTATCATGACTCAAGAAGGCGAAGAGGGAAGAGGTATGAGTGTCCTCTTTGGAAAGAAAGGAAGCAGGAAACGAGCGATGGGATGAAGGAAGGACACTGGTGTTTTCGGCGGCTTTTCCTCTAGTCACAAGTCACAGTCAAGTCATGAGGTTATGGATCTTTGTTGAGCGCTGGAATGGCGCTTTAGCTTGGCTCTTCTTTTGGTTTTCAATCTTGTTGTTGTTCGTTGTTTGTTTTGGTCTCGTCTCTGCGTTGCATACTGGCTTTCGAAGATATCCCCCACCACAACTCTTAGCTTAGCTTTATTCTTATCGAAGCATACTTTTTTTTCGAGATGCTGCAATATGGGTATGTGCTTTATGTGGTGAGAATGGAGAGAAAAGAGAACGTTGGACAATCTAACATGCATGATGGAGCTTTGGAAGAAAGAGCCTGTTCATATTACGATGCATTGAGAAAGAGAAGAAAGTACAAGAAACAGAACAGCCAACTCAAACAACAAAAGGCCTTCCCACTCTCGCCTTCTCCGCAGCAGTGGTACTCACACGCTTCTCCTCAGCCTGCACAACAAGATCATGCGGCGAGAACTTGCCCTCCGTCGACACTCTCGCTCTAGGCTCCGACCGATTCCACAACTCAAAGTGGCTATAGAACCTGCCATTCCCAGGCGGAGGCCTCTTTGCCTCGGCTCTGCCCAAGACACTCGACCTTCCCACTCCTTGTAATGAAGGGGATGACGAAGCTGCAGAGCCTGCGTCATCATCGTCACTACCCCCACCCGGTAAGTTGAGAAAGCGACTCCACGCCGTCGCCGCACTCTCCAAGCTACTGCTCGCCCGTATGGTGCGTATGACAGCCTGTGCGCTGATGAGCTCGCTTTCGAGCAGTGCGGTCTGGAAGGTTGTGAGACTTTGTTCGAGACCGGCGATGGCTTCGTTTACAGGACTGTTCATTTCGCGGTGGTAGGCGCGGCCGAGGGTTGTCAAACTGTTGGCTAGGTCGGGCATGGATTGGACGTAGGCCATGTAGGGGGATGTGAGGTCGATGGTGAGGTTATCGAGGGTAGGTGTTGTGGTGGGGATGCTTGTGGGGAGGGCGAGACTGGCTGTTAGGGGAAGCGTGGGGGTTGCGAGTGTGGGCACACTGGAGGTGGGTAAGGTGCCGTTGAGGGTCGAGTTGCTGGGCTGGAGCCATGATGTCTGTTGTTGGTGCTTGTTAGTGCTGGTGATCAGAATGCTCGAGGTAGCGGGCAAGACACGTACCCTGTTCGTGTCTAGTTGGTACTTTGCTCGGAGGATAGTGTTGGTGATGTTGTTGACGAGGTCGGCAGTACCCATCTGACCGCTGCCGCCGAAGAGGTTGAAGCCAAAGCCTCGATTGGGGTTATTCGGATTTCCGATAGCACTTGCTGCTGCATCGACGACACTGCGCATATCGGTAAGGTCCTGCATCGCGGCGGGTGTGGCGATGGCGGTCGGGATCAGGATGATGCCGGTGACGAGCATCGTGTGGAGCAAGGAGGAGGCCTTGTGGTGAACCGAAAACATACTAGGCTGACGATGCGGCGAACAGGTAATCGGAGTTAGTAGGCGGAGGTGAGAGGTGGTAGGAAGGCTCAAAGTATGCTGCTGGAAGCTAGGAGTGTCTTGTGTAAATTGTTGGTGGATGAAGAGTAGAAGTTCAGGTGGCATTGCTGGCTTCTTATCGTATGCGTCTAGCTCAGTGCGTGGCGGAAGGAACGATACTGTCAAAGGACGTGTCGAAGTGAGTGAGCCTATTGGGAGGAAAGAACGACGAACCGTGTGGCTAGAGGCGACTATGGGAGCAGTATAAAAATGCAAGAGCCATCAAGCAGCATGCCCTCAAGCCGAACCATCAATATTTCAATTTCTTCGATGAGGTTGACAACCTTATGGATACCCGTTAGTGCGAGTTACGAACCAACAAAGGGCCTTTGCAGACACTCTCGGCAAAGTGTGAATGTACAAGCAAGCATTTCAAATCCATTCGTCATTCCCAGTGGTATCATCTATCCAAACCCTACAATAACAACCTTCCAATACTCCAAAGATCATACAAATGAGCACAAAGGCAAGCCCCATCACCTCTTCTTCACTGCATCCTCCATGCGCCTGATAAGAGTCTTCAATCCAACGCCCTTCTCACAGTTGTTCTCAAGATACTCTTCCATCTTCTCCCTCACCTCTTTCATACCCTTCAGTACCGGCAATTTGTTCCCCTCTTCACCCTCAAGGTGCATGAGTGGGTTCAACAGTAAATCAAGGCATGAGTGCCAGATATCAGTCTGCCAATATCGTTTCAAGCTTTCCTTGATCTTGTACGTCTTCGTCGCTCCGGCACCAAGAGTAGCGCCACGCTCAGCGATCGTGGATATGTACTTGCCAAATAATAGGTTGTGAACAATTCCAGCGAGACCGTGGTAGTCGATCTGGTAGGTCCACGGGCGTAGTTCGCGCATCTCGGCACAGTCGGCTTCGGTAGTGGGCCAGTCGGCGATGAACTGCACATCTGGCTTGAAGGCCTTCATGTCGATACCACGGCCAAAGTCGATCAGTGAGATACCCTTGGCAGACCAGCCGTCACGTCCATCGCGCTTGTATTCGGAATCCCAGTGCTCATCTTTTTGTAACGCGTCGAACCGGACGAGAATGTTGTCGCTTTTCAGATCGCCGTGAATGACACCCTTGGAGTGTAGCGCTTCGACTGTGCGGAACAACTCGATGGTAAAGAACATGGCCAACTGTTCGTCCATGACGCCGTTGTCTCCGCGAGAGAGGTTCACAAGGTCGAGCAGCGTACCCTGGTCTCTGAATTCCTCTACCAAATAGCACTCGTCTTTGAAGACGTGCATCTCGTACGCGTGAACAATCGAATCAGCCGCTCGAGATACGCCTAGCCGTCGCTTTGCTTGTCGCATGATGTAAAATTCCCATGGAGTTGGTGGATCTTCCATCTTGATAGCTTCCAGATTCTTGCGCTTCAAACCGAACTCGCCCTTGCCCATCTGCGAAGGTTTGTTCTCATCGTCGTCCTCGTCGGGGTCTCGACTTTCAACCAGGTAGACTGGGGCGAAAGCACCTTTCCCAAGCTCGCGTTTGACGGCGTATGTCCGCTGAGTTGTGGGAAACTTCAACGTGGGACAGACTGCAAGGTTGGCCGTCTTGTCGTTCGCGCCCTTGCCCGATTTCAGAGCCTTGGTATACTTGCGAATGTCGGCTCCTTTTCCGTAGCTCTCTTCGGTGTCTGCGTAGTAGCCGTCGTAGCTATCGAGTGGTGGCTGGATTTCTTGTAGGATGACCTTGCGGATGTTCTCGTCGACCGGATTGCACTGTGCATCCTGAATGATTGGACCATTTGGCTTTACTGGTTTTGGCGCAACCTCTTTCGCAGCCAACGGCTTCCGTTGCGGTTCGGCGATGGGCTCTTTAGGTACTGGTTTCGATTCTGTCAGGGCGAGCTTCGCAACTTTCCCTGAACCATCAATCACTTGACTCAAGATATCTGAGAACGCGCTACCGCAAGTATCATCATCGTCGTCGTCTTCAAGGATGTCAGTGGTACCTTTCGATCGTGATGGTGTCTTGGTCGCAGGAGTAAAATAGTCCTTGTTTGCATAAGCGGTGGCGATGCCTAGGGATGATTCCGTCTTCTCGACGATGGGCGTCATAAACGGCAGACGGTTATTAGCAGCCTGGGCCGGGTCTCGGTAGGGCTGCATAGCTGGGACGTAGTCTTCCGGTGGAACGGGAACGAAGCGGGTAGGTAGCGATGTGGGCGCTGAGGGCGAGGTCGGAGTGACGACGTCAGAATCTTGCTGCTGTTCCACGTCGACATCTGCGCGTGTTACCTCATTAAAAGAATCGTTCTGAGACTGATCCGATTGCTCAGACTCATCATCTGATTCATCCTCTTGACCATCTTTAGGCACGTGCTTGCTCTCAGTAAAGTCAGACCACGCAGACGCACTCTTGGTATCCGAAGCGTCGGAATCGCTTTCATCCTCGGCATCAACATCCAGCACCCTGGTGCCGAGCGTAAAATCTCCAGCTGTTGTCTCATCCCCGAACTCGCTCGTAGCGCCGGATATGCGACCGGTTGCCGTACTTTCGGCACCACTCGTGTAGTCGTCCTCATCGTCGCCGCTGCTTTCATCGCCGCTCTGATTCTCCGAAGTATTCTCGTCGGCGTTTCTCAGTGGCTCGTTGAATATGTCGTAGATCTCGTCCATAGCTTCCTTGGTGTGGAGGGTCATTGTGGTCTCCGGGCCTGTCTTCTTTCGCCGGATTTTGGGCTTCGCTGGAGAATCCAGGTTGGCTTGGACTAAGACGTGTTAGTACGTAAGTGACAGTCTCATACACACTCAAACACTCACTTGTCTGAGTCTCTCCGCGAACTTCTTTGACTTCCATGACCTTGATTTTCCTGGTCCTGTTGGCACGCTCCTCTCGTCTCGCCTTCTTAGCAGCCCGTGCCTTGTCTACATCTGCCTGTGAAGGCGGCGCATTTTCGTCGTTGTTCATATCATCGTCAACGCTGCCTTTCAGGGGCACGGTCTTGGGCTTAGGAGGCTGTTCGTAATCCTGTTTGGGCGCTAGAGGCGCGGCCTTTGGCTTCGGTCTTGCAGCTGCTTCTGCCTCTTCAGCTGCTTTCCTTGCCTGCTTCTGTTCCTTGCGTCGGATAGCATCCCAATCGTGGTCCATCCATCCCCTGTATTTAGCTCGAAGTTCCTCAAATGAGTATTCCTCTGACATGGGATCTTCATGGTTGGGGTACACTTGCTCCAAATCTACAAAGACTACCTCAAGCCTGCCTGTCCTTGGATTGACCGCTTGTTGATGTTCACGCAATGGATGGGGGCTGACATTCTCGTCATTTGGATTTGATTTGGTCTGAATACATGTATGGCAAACGCCCACCAATTAGTCCTGTGATCGTAAATATATGAAGGGGCTGATGTAGGCAGATCAACTCACCTCATCCTTGAAGATTGACATCTTTGGCACGCCCGTATTCTTCTTTCCGACCTTCAGAGTCTCACCAGCCCAAGGCCGCGCTTCTGTTGCGTTCTCCTTCTTGCGGTCTGCGAGCGATCCAATGCTATCCCATCCTTCTATGCTACCGGTCGAGCCGGGCCTCGCGGCATCGTCGCCATCGGAAAAGATGGCAAGCTTCGCCTTCCCCGAACGAGAAGCGCCTCCAGCAGATTTTGGCGCACTTTGTGGTTGTGGGCTCGGCGCACTCGGCGATGCATGCGCAAAGGGGTCCATCTTAGCGGCGAGGGCTGGACGAACGGCGGGAAGTGCGGGGCTTGAAGGCTCGGGAACCTCTTGCGGGCGGCTCTCGAGGCGATGCTGGAATTCTCCGTACTTGCGAATCAGGCGCTCGACTGGGCGGGCCTCGCGGTCGATACCCAAGTTGTATATCTCCTCTGCTTGTGTGAAGCGGCCCGCGCCTTCTAGCCAGGCGGCGAATTCTTCGTAGAATAGCGCAAGGTTCTCGCCGATGTTGTGTCGCGCAAGGTATGCGAATGTCTCGCGCGGCGCATCTGAGAAGAGATGGATGTAGTGCAGCCACAGCTTGAGGTAGCGGGCGTCGTTCTTGTACTGCGGCGAGGATTGGAAGGCTTTGGTTGCGCGCTCGAGCAGCGGGCAGAGTTGCGATTGAGGTGTGTTTTGTGCGGAGGGGTACGAGTCGAGTGTCCATTTGACATAGCGGTCGTAAACGTCTAGCGGGTCGTCTGAGTCGTCAATCGCCATGAGCTCCTTCTCGAACTTGAGGCGGGCCGCGCTATTCGCATCTTGCATCTGCGAAGGGGACAGGGTCTGACCAGCGCCGGAAGTCAATGGTGGCGTGTATAGCTGCGCGAGCGCTTTTGCGGAGCGTCCGCTGGGGATGCTCTGGATGTTTTCCTTCTGGCCTTCAATCACCTCGAAGTCGGTAACGTCGTCGGAAGCCATGGCGCCGATTGGGGGTATCACAAAGAAAGAAGAAGAAGAAAAAAGAGGATATCAGAAACACAGGCACAGTACCTGCTGTCGTTGTTGCTGCAAGCGGATGTGTATACCAACTCAGGGTACGCGGGGTTTGCATGTGGGACGATACGCTAGAACGCGCTTTGTCCTCTCCTGTCCTGGATTGTATGTTGCCCCGACAACAATGGCCTACCACTTCTTATCCCACCCAGCATACGACCGCCAAGCCTGGTATGATGGACCTGTCAGTCAACCGAGTAGTGCCTCGGAAATTGAACGACTTAACATCAGCCCAGGAGACTAATGGCCGCAGCAATGCTTTGGCCGACCTGGGCATCCATTGACCCTGTTGCTGATGCATGGTGGGATGACGGCATAGAATATGAGCCTATTCTTGCCAACGCACCTTCCTGGTTGCTACAGGCGAAAGAGAAGAGGGTAAAGTGCCCAGGTACAGGCCAAACATAATCATAGGTGACATTCGGTTTGCCAAACTTCTCTTTGAATATCTCGTCCTTGGTAAGGAGGCGTACAAGCTTCGCTCGAACCACGTAGTACTCCACGACCCAGATGTCGAATCCAGCAATAAAGCTCGATTTGCGACTTGCCATAATAACATGATCACCTGTCTATAGGCATCTGTCGCAGCTGGTCACAAGAAAGCACAAGAAGTCATAATCGTCCGAGAAAGCATATACAAGCATGTTAAGAATGTCCAAGGACAACTATTGACCCTTCCAGCTTCTACCCATTACCAATGTTCATCATCAGTGACCCGTCCCGCCAAAAACAGCACGACAGCACATCCTAATAGAGAGAGTCATCATGTAAAAATAGAAACTGATCCTGACAAAAAACTACAGACTCCCGCTGTTCGATTTGGTATATCCCTAAAACGAAAGCAAAAACGTCATATGCACAAAGGCAAGCAAAACAAAGGGAAAATGACATATGCCGGATCGGGGTATCCCAAGGAAGTTCGAGCAGAAGCTCCGATTGGTATCATATGGAAAGCGACAACAAGAGCCCTCACCTGGTCGGCGATGTCTGAAGTGAAGGCAAGGGAAACAAAGCAAAAGACCGAGAGATTGTCATGCGGAACTGGAGGTAAAACACCAGACATGTGTATCATTGCGTAAATCATAGGAGATTCGTTATTGTTCTTCGAGGTCGTGACATCGTGGGTGTGCTTTGCAAAACTCGACGTAAATTGATGATGGCGATGTGTGATGTAAAGGCGGTGAGGAAGCAATCAGCTGACCTAATTTAAGAGCGGTTCTCCACGGCTTGCTCGCCAGTGGCGACGGCAACAAGCGCTTCCAGGCGTCTCATATCATTGTTGGCTGTCTGCTGCGGTAGCGGCTGACCGAACGTTGCGGGTCCCCGCTCGGGTTCTCGTTGCGGTCGATAGCTTGAGCTCGAGTTGGAGAGGCTGTGGCTATGATAATGGTGTGGTTGCGATTGTAAAGGATGCGGCCTTTCCATGATTGATGCTTGCGACTTGTAATCTTCGACGACTGGCGTTTCGACGTATCCATTGCTGCCCACGATATTCGGATGATGTTCCCAGATTGTCCCTGGAGTGGGAACGCCTTCGCTACTGCTACTATCTTCAGGGGATGTTCTCTGCATAGCTCTTTGTGGTTGACTGACAGGTCCGTTATACCACGCCTGTCGCTTGTTCTTTCGGGGCGTCGTAGGCTGTTCTTGCGAAGTCCTGGGCGAAGCGTTGATGGAAGGGATCTGGATTGGCTGAACGTTAGAAGGTTGCCGACTAAAGTACCCATGAGCGGTCGTAGGGCGTGTAGCATTCGCTCGTCCGGCACTGCCAGGGTATGGTTGCGACCATTGTGGTTCTCTCTGAGAACTTGGGCCAGCAATGTTCAGACGGTCAATTTCCCAAGAAATACTAGTTCTTTTGTGGTGACCCCTGTGAGCCGGAGGCGGGTGCTCCATCGGCGCGTGATATGTCAGTGGACGAGTTGGGGCGTCTACTTGCATTGGACTTGGCTGGCGTCGAGGAAGCGGAGGGGGTGCATGGTCGAAGCTTTCAATTCCCGGAAGACGGGTAGTTTGAGAAGCGGCCGGAATTGAAGTAAACGTGGGCCGATCCGCGTCTGGCGTCTGGTGATAACCAAGCCCACTGGTCGCTGGGCGAGGCCCAGTATGCCCCCAAGTTCCTGGATGCCACGTACGTCGCCTCCAGTCCGCATCTGCGTTTGAATCTCTCCTCGACTCTGAGAACTGAGATGCTGTTGGGCTCGCATATGCGCTGCTTTGGGCTGAATAGCTGGGTGCGGCAGTCGACTGCAGAGGCATGATGTACGTAGAAGGACCCTGTCCTGGTGGACCAGAGAAAGGATTACCACTGGACGAGATGGACTCTCGACGTCCTGGAAGGGGTGGTCCGGCCCATGAGACTGGCCTGGACGAAGACGAAACCGGAGACTGTATAGTGGACCCGTAGCGAGCGGGGCTGCCAGTAACTGTCGAAAAGGTAGCGGATGTGGGCGTTGTAGGCGCGTTGGACTGCGTGTCATACTCGACAGGCCCAGGAGAGCCCATCATCGGTGGGTCATACGCGTTCATGGTATTTAGTGACAGGCGAGCCCTCGCGCTAGCACCACCATCACTAGCCATGGCCAAAGGTGGTGGCCTACGTCGAATGTCGGGAGAAGGTGCCGCGCTCATGGTCGAAGCGGTAGAGATTATGCTTGAAGCTGAGAGGTTTCTGCTGTGGCCTCTGCTATGGCCACCTGTGCTGCCTAGTGTGTTCGCTCGAGATCGGTTTCCAGGTGGTCTTAATCTGTCGGTCCGGATCTGCCTTTGGAACCTCGTACCCGTTGCAGCTAGCGATTCCGAAGGTATGTCTTCATTGACGTGAACTGTTTGGGCATGTTGTCGGAGGTTGTCGAGTCGCGAGAATCGCCGGGAACAGTGACATTGGAAGGGTCTTTCACCAGTATGCTTCCTGCAGTGTGTTAGCAATGTAGCGTGCCGCATAGTGAGCTACGTACCGAATGTGTCGTGCCAGATGCTCACTTCTCGTGAAGCTTAGATTGCACGGCGGAAAGTCGGTACAAAAGAAGCGTTGTCCTTTCTTCTTTTTAGACGGCCGGTTGGAATCGCTGGTTACGCTATCGTTGTCCGACCCGTCTTTCTCGTCATCATCCCCATCACCCATATGCACGTCTTGTCCCGAGGTTGTTGGCCTATGCGAGTCCTCTCTACTTTGTTCGCTCTTGTTCGAAGCTGAAGGTGTCTCGCTCAGCTCGCGGCCGGGTGTAAACGGCGACGAGGGCAGTGGTCGCTGACCAACAAGTCCCGCAAAGGTGTTGCGTGTAGGTGTCTTAGCCGATGGGTCTTCGGCACGGATCTCTTCGGTCGCTTTCGATTCGGCAAAGAACCTGCTGTTCGGTCGAGGAGTAGTTGGCGTCGTCTCGTCACCCGGGCGGCCCTGTGGCGCATCTGGGACCGACAATGTGGTGTTGACTGCTTGGAAAGTAGACATGTTGGAAGAAGCGGTGACCAGCAGTCTACCGATAGCCACCTCTTGTTCCGTGTCGTGCTGAGTGAGCCGCGCAGGTCTACAGAGACGAGCGCGTATAGCTTACAACCTGCACGACAGAGCTCGCTTTGGTAGCGCCGGTGATGTAAGACTGGAGAGTTAATGCAGGCGCAGGTCCCAGGCGGGTTGCCTCGAGCGGCGCAATCAGTATGATACTGCGGGTGGTCCCTTCCTGGAGCGGATGTGGGAAGGCTGAAACGATATGATGACGAATAGAGGGCGGCGTTGCAACAACATCCGGAGTCAGCGCCCAGCGAGCAAGGTCAAAGAAAATCTACGAGGTCGTGTTAAAATCGATCGTTGCGTCGTAAAATCGTCAAGTTGGTGTCGCCCAAAGGTGCACCGGTGGTGAGGGTTGAGCAACCACGGATACTCGGACTTTGGGCTGGGTATGATAAGGCGCGGGATGGGATGCCTCAGGTGGCGGGGAGATTGGCCCCTCTTTGACGCAAGACTCGATGCGCACAAGGGCTCGAGTAGGAGCGGCAGGATGCGGCTCTTGTGGCGATGCAGCTAGACTGTGCAAGACCCGGGTATGAAGGCAGAGGAGCAGGTGTCGATGCAGGAGAGCGGGATTAGAACGAACTCACGATTGCGTCGCAAATGCACGAGGAGGGGTTGGTAAGGCACAGGACGGGATCTTAGCGGCTTTGTCGTGCGCCCTGGACGGACGGCCTGGCAGAAGGCTGGGGTTAGAGTCCGATCCACCTTGCGACGAAGGCACATCTTGCCTGCAGATCCTTGGAATTAGCGATGCTTGGCCCGCCGACCCAGACATGATGAAGAGGTGCAGCTGAGCCCCAGAGCATGCTCGTCCGCCTGTCAGACCACAGTACGTCTGCAAGCCCTGATGAGCGCATCTGCCGTCAAGCAATCGGCCTGGCTGCAGGACATGGCATCATATTGTGCGGCGGGGCACTGGGCAGCACTGCCTGTTTCCGGTTGCTAACAACGGTCATGGCACATGCTTGCAGCGATGGGTCAAGAACCTGACTATTTGCTCTAGGTCGTGCGTTATGGCCGGGACCTGAGCACGCTGGATATTGATGACGAAACACCTACCAACGCCCGCTGCCGTTTCACGTGTTATCAGATAGATCGGGACCATGATGGCTGGCTATGCCATGGACGCGCCGGCGCGTTTGGCCAGTCCCTCAAGGCAAGTTGCGCGCCTGGGAGAAGACAGCCATAAGCAGACGAGCATGGCGTCGGCCGCCTGGCGAAGCTGACAGTGCCATGCCCAAGTAATTGGTTGACGCGGATAGTCGCTGCAAGCTAGCAGCGTGGGCGAGCGCCGATGCAAGGGGACTCGACCAGATCCACAAAAAGTGTTGTACCTTTGTACCTTGCCGAAGCGAAAGGCTAGCATCCGTGGTTCTGCCGGACTTCAGCGACTCAAATTTTGCGTCTTTGCAGCGCGAAAGGCGCCAGGCGGCTGTTGAACGAGGCGGTCAGAGACGGTAGTCTGTCCCCTGGCGTTGCCTGGCGTTGGGCTTTGAGCGGTGCGTGACAGTTTGTCGCCATCACACTCTATAGCTCGGAAGCGCTGACAGAAAGGCGGAGGACCCAGTGGCCCGACTAGTTCCTGGCAAGCACTGTTTGATTCGGTGGAATCTGGCGGACAGACGCGGGATGATACCATGGATCGCGAATATCGTGGTCATCTGCGCGGTGCGCCTCGTTGCGTCGTCTGTACCGTACTTTGTCCCTTGTATGCTTCAAGATTCCGCTTCCGGTGCCTAAACGAGACGCAATATTGCTATTGACACGTTGCGTAGGCGCATCCCCACACGAGGATCGTGCGCCGTGCCTACAAAGAAAACACTCGTCCTTCCTGCAGCGGCAGCTGGAGGATTGGTGAAACACATAGTGTATGCAGGCCTACATGTTCAAAATAGTAGCTTTACCGAATCATGCGGGCTTGAGTTAGCGGGCGAGCCAGATGTCTGGACGCATTTGTCGCCAGCGGTGGCGTTGGTGTTGAGGGAGCCGTGCATTACTCGCGCTCATGGTCAGGTTAGCGATAGTGGAGTCAACGCTCGGAACGTGCCTGTGCCTGCCTCCAGCCGTGTGATAGCCCGTGCGCGAAGCGCGAAGACCGAGGTATGACTCTTATCGATTATCGAGCAACTCAAGATGCACACGGGGAAAGCCTGTCTTGCATACACATTAACTGCAGGCCCCTCCTCAGTACTCGCACAACAGCTTAGCACTACGTTTCATCGCCATGCATTGACGCCGTGTGGCAATGACGGGCAGCTGCCTCGCCGCACAACTGTGGTACATTGACACAGCCGAGGTGGCCAAGAACAAACAGATGGAAGCTGGTATCACATTGCTGCTGTATAAGTCACGATTCGCTTGGTGCGACTCCCAGTCATCACTCCACCGCCCAAGCAATGCTGATTTCTTCTTCGGATCTTGCGCCAATGCGGTATTGACCCGCCCAATCCACACCGCCTAATGAACAAGTGCCTAAATCTATCCGATGCTTACTGCACAACCTAGGTGGAACGTCAGTCTTCTCTTCGGACAGGCAGCTGACTCATTGATATACCTTTTCTCGGAGTTTGCTGATCCATTGGACGATGCTTTCACCCTGGTCTGCCCGGTCTTCGACAAGGAGGGTCTGTGTCCATAGCTTGAGGGCTGGGTCGCCGTCTTCCTTGATAATGTACAACGTAGGTAGGGTGATTGAGCCTACACCCTTCGACTTGTGATCTCTCGATTTCTCGACGACTATCTTATATCAGCAATCTGACTGTATAAATCATCAGTAATGTCAACTCACCTGCTCGCACTCGCTCGGAGTATTCATTGTCTAGAAGAGGTAATGAGGCTTTGCCCTGTTTCAACTGTGTGCGGTCTTCGACGCCAAATACATCATTCAGGAGCGCGGGGACAGCATCTCGGCCAATCCACCTAGTCACGTTAGCCCTATATCGATACAGACTCTGCGCTTGTACTTACAAGAACTGGTTCACACCGTCGTCCAGGAGGTACAGACCGTAAGGCACGATGGCTGCACTGGAAAGGTTTAATGCAGGTGGCATTGTGATCTGTCCAGTGGTAGGTTCCGGTACACCAGCATCATCAGGCATATCGTGGAGTGAGTAGAAAGACGGGTAGATGTACTGCGTAAGTAGGCGCAATGGCAGTGTAGAGAGGAGGTCAAGAGCTGCGGAACGGAGATCACTCGGGATTTGAGCGCTCTTGCGAAGACCAACGTTCTTGATGAGTCCCAAGAACAGTATGGGGAGAGCGCGAAGGTTTTGCGGTAGTTGTAGTCCTCCACCGCCCATGCTGCCGCCTGCCAACTCCTTGCGATAAGTTGAGAGTATCTCGATGATCTTGGCCTGTAACGCGTCTCGTGCTGCGTCAAGACCGCTCGACAATGCTCGCTCAACTGCCTTGTGACTGAAGTAGGTAGTGATCGCTTGCGCGTCTGCTGATGCATAGACTGACGCCAGGCTCTCAGTCGTAGGCACAGCAAGAGTCAGAACCCTGATACGGCGTTGACCACTTGAGGTAGTGTGAAGCACAGCGGCCTGGAGACAGGCGAATGGCTTGGAAATTGTTTCGTCGATGGCGACCTCGATCACTACAGCTTGATCTCTGGGGTATGCTGGGAAGGCGCAGAGGTCAGATGAGCGGTTGAAGAAGTTTCCGTAGAATGCAGACATCCTCAATCCGGTGGTAGCGCGCACTCGGAGAACGGCCTCTAGACCGATCTCAGCAGACAGATAGTCAGCCAGCTCGGTTGCAATCTTGACGACATCCTCTTGTCTTGCCGCGTTCCATCCAGGGTAAAAGTATGTCTGACCGGCAGTGAATCGCGGAAGGTTGCTCAGAGTCGCAACATCTTGGTACTGCGAGGAGAAAAGGAACATATCCACCGACACCTGGTTCTTAGAGCATTCTACCGCGAACGACTTGTACCAGTTATTGGCAGGCTGCAATAAACTGCCTTCCTTTCCGGTGCCCAGTAGCGACTTGTCTTCTCGAGGGCTCAATGCTGCATGACCAACATTGGGTAGCGATGCGGCAATGACAGTCAACTTTCCTCCGAGTGGGGAAATGAGCTTATGTGCGGATCGGAGAGCTGAGCCCAGCGCAAAGCCAGGGACGTGTGTGTTTTGGAACATGGTCGGGAGGCGGTCAAGGAACGTCTCGATGTTGTTGCGGCATTGACTGAGGCTGACCAGGAGGTCCGAAGGCATGGGAAGGTAGGGCTCATCGAGGTCGGAAACTACAAGCTGTTGTGGTTCATTGGATTCGCTGTTGTCAGGAGGAATGCCGAAGAAGTGCAAGCCGTTGTCGACCGCCTGGTACATAGTTAGCTTACGCACCATGTGCTTTCAGGAAGCGCGTTGCTTACCATGAATCCAATGCGTGTCCGACCGTCTGCGTTTGGTATCCGACCGAGCGACTCCTTGATGACCCTCGAGACGACGGCGAGCAATCCGCTGTTGACAGCGCCTTGTGTGCAATCCAGCAGGATGTAGTAGCATAGAGGCTGTGGAGGGCGGACCTGCAGAGATAGAGGTACGAAGTCAGCATTTGTCTCACATGCACTTCGTACAGCCAGTACTAACCATGTACTCCTGAGGCGCAACAAACTCGGTCACGGCATAGTTGAGCTCGGGTCTCTGCCAGCGGTCCACGCTCTTCTGCTGTGCTGCATCCCAATCGAATGCCTGAGGAACGTCGTTGGTCAGGTTGCACATGTTGCACCTCCACCTGTGTCCATGGTCCAAGAATGAGACAAATGGATTGATGTAGGCGCGGCAGCGTCGACAACGGCTAATGACCTGGTCGTGCACTACTGGCACAGGGTCCTCCGAGTCGTGCAAGCTCGCATATGGGCTTATAATGAGGGCGAAGGGAAGCTTGCTCTTCTTGAGTAGCGAGTGGTTGGTGGGGATGGTGTTGAGCGTACATCGCAGGTATTTACTCGATTCGTTCGCGAACTCGGAGGGGGTGGCCGCGGCATTGGACGGCAGGTTGATGGGAGGAGGAGGGTTGTATAGCTCGGAGACGTGAAAGGGCTGCGCAATGAGGTCCGAAGGGAAGAGCTGGTTCTGCTGGGTAGCCGCAACGGGTTGCTGAACTTGCGGAGCTGCTTGGCCCTGGCCTAGGTTCATCTGCCCGAACTGCTGGTTGAGGGCATTCGGATCTTGAGGCATGGGCTGTCCATAGCCTTGGGCTGGCGCTCCATAACCCTGTGCTGGCGCTCCGTAGCCCTGAGCCGGGGCGCCGAACCCAGGAGAAGGTGCTGCTCCGTATGCAGGCGTTTGAGCTCCATAGCCAGGTACTACTGGTGGGGGGACTCCTCCGGCTTGGGCGTCTGGTGTATTCGCGCCGAATTGGTATCCTGTTCCTGCTGCGTAGCGATCTCTCTTTTTGCGGTCCGCCATGGCTACGGCAGCGGAGACTGTGAGTGGAAGAGCTGGAAAGTAGTGGTAGGGGGATTGGAGGTGTTGGCGGGCGTGCGCGTGAATTTAGATACGACGTAGAGCTCGATGTGTCTTCTTGGGGAACGGCACATTCCGCGCTAAGAGGTCCCCGCCAAATATGCACGGACAATTCTAGGGTTTAGGTGGGACCTTATACACGGCCCAGCGCACTTCTACACATTCATCATCACCTTCAGGCACCCATCCGAACTATGTGCCCGATTGGCTCGAAACCTTTGTTACATCACTTTAGGCATCACTGAACTTATCTGTACAAACGTGTCATTACGAAGTTACCTCATGCTACAGAAGAGGAGACATAATCGGGATATGTATCAAATCATTAGTACATACAGACAAAAGGAAATGTCTCTAGAAAGCTACCCCAAAGTCGCAATCTCTTCAGTTTAGGCCACGTTGGAAACCTCCTGTCTGGGAGCCTCCTCCTGTTGCCTTTCCAGCCTCTCTACCCTGTCAGCCTCTTCCAAGGGGTAAGGAGCGGAACCCGCCTTGTCAAACTGCTCGCCCACAGGACTCTCACTTCGTACTGTACTCCCATAGGTAGTAGATTCGGGACCCGGCGTGCCAGTTGTCCCCCCTAGTCCGACTCCCGGTGCTGCTGCGCCTGGCATTGCACCCACTCCGAGGTTACCTGCACTCGAATGGATAGGCTCGACCTCTAATCGGTATTGGCGAAGATCATCTTCAGCATCATTGAGGACTTGGCGCGCTGTTTCTGCCTCTGCGAATGGAGGGTGTACATCGCCAGGTACAATGGGCGTATCGTCGACGAGGTTCAAGAGACGGCGAGCGTGCTTGGCTAGGATGATCTGCTTCTCAGCACGTTCGATGGTGGCTGCGAAGTGGTGGTCGTATGCCTCCTTGAACTTCTGACGGGTCTGTATCGGTCAGCAGACGATACAAGTCAATTCTGACTCAACGTACAATGTTGGTGAGCTGCGCTTCGGCCACCAAGCTCTGAGCCTCCGCGCGGACGAGCTCCTGTTCGAGCTGGGGAATCTTAGTACTCTGAGGTTCCTTGTATTTCAGCTTCGCGATCTCATCCGAAACCTATGATCTGGTTAATATGAAGTATGCTGACTATAGCCGTAGAACGCACCTTAGTTTTGTGATCGCGACTTGGCTGCACCGAGCTTTCTGTGTTGCGAATCTGCTTCAGGACGCCTCGATATTCCTCCAATTGTTGCGCATAGATATCTTCTTGCTCTGCGATCTCTGCGAGCAACACTCCGAGCTTGTCCGAGACCTCCGAAATCGACTCGTCTTCTGTAGCCTCGCCCCATTCGGAGAGCTGCTGAGCAATTCCGACCCGTTCGCGTGCCGCAGCCTCGTAGGCACCAATCGCGTGGTTCTCCGATTTGATGATCTTGAACAGCCTCTTCGAGAGTTCCGGCTGCTGAGTACCTCGGAGTGAAGCCATAGTAAAGCGGTGCTTGGGCGCGGACTTCTCCCCACTGCCGCTGGTGCTCTTTTTCGAGCGCACTGAGAGTGATCGATTCCTGTGGAAGGGGTATCATGGTCAGCGAGCGCTTCAATCGCGGCCGCGATCGCGATAGCCATGTAGAACAGGAGTATACAAGTTGATACATTGAACCCTTCTTTCGGTTGCGCACAGTCACCGGGGAAAGGAAATAGGGATAGTACGATGCGCATCATGATACAGCATCGGAGAAGACTCAGGAAGCGACTTACATGGTGGGTTTACTGTAACCTCAGTGTTTGTATAGACCTACGACCCGTTAGCATCGCTTCATTACGCGCCGCGAGAGCACGCGCATCGCTGCGCAGTCTGCGAGTAATGGTACTAAATTGTGGAGACATACCTGTATGAGAGTATAAAGAACCCGGTCGCGATGTTTCCAGGATCAACGTACTGGGCAGAGAATCGTTACTGTTTGAGTTTTGGGAAGCGGGGGTCAGCCTGGGGGGAAGTTGCGCAAGAGCCGGTGATGTCATAGCCGGGCCCGGAAGCTGCGCATCGCGAACATTAGCACCTACAGCCAGTCACACGTCCACTACTGCCGAATCATCCGTGGGAGCCTGCCTTTGCGTTTCTTGTACTACCTTGTATGTCTTTTCTGTTTCCGTACCTCAAACTGTCCGGTAGAGGTATCCGCTGCGTTTCACGTAAAGAACCTTTTCCAACTCCCGAGACCCACTGCAATATGAGGCTCGAGGAGCAATCTACTTACGACGGCGTCATCTCAGAGTCGCATGATCATGATCAGACCACGTTGAAGAAAATGAGGCGACAGAGCTCAGATCTGTGGTCAGGCCCTGAACTTTGATGCCGAGGTAGGGCTTCTTGACACACTCGATAGTCATGGTCATCGTTGTGTTCAAAAAAGTATCATTGTATCTAACGATGTAGATGTATCCAAATATATTGTTTCTTGAGCGCGCAACAGCACCTCGAGTCGCGAACACGTGAACAAACCGAAAAGAACTACATCGCAGTCACCCCAGTATATCTTCCCTAGTTGTCCAATGGGTATCTGTCGAAGAACTTGAACGTCTTGAGACCCTCAGATAGCTGGTCCACAACTGCCGACACGTCGCTCGCAGTGTAGACACCAGGAGTGGAAGCCTCGATACCGGCAGCGCCGAAAGCAGTGTTGCCAGATCCGAGCACACCAACGGGCTTACCGAAACGGTATCCGTCTTGGAGAATTTGGAGAGGGCGCCCAGCAGGGTAGAGAGTCGAACGGGCGCTGGCGGTCGCGTTGCGGCTGGGCGCAGTTGTGGAGTTGGAATTGGCGAGACTAGGGATGGTCGCGAAGAGGCTCTCTGCGCTGCCATCAATGAGGATGGCATCGAACTGGATTGCGGAAGTTGCAGAGTAGGTCTGGTCAATGCTGGCACCCAGGTGCTCGGCAACGACAGTCATGCCAACATTGAGATCAGCGAGAGCTGACTTCAACGCCTTTGCGTTGTCATCGGAAGAACCCGCGCTAGTAAGATAGCCGACCTTGAGTCCATCGAGCTTGAGCAACGGCTCACCAGATGCGCTGACGCCAATGGTCTTGTTGTCGTGGTAGTAGGTATCGTCGGCTTCCGGTGCGGTCATGCCCAACGCCTCCGCAACCCTTACGGCAATGTCGTGAGAGATGCGGTTGAGCTGGATGAGCACGTTGTTCTTCACAACCTCGCTCTTCAGTTGCGAGGTCTCGAAGCGCATAGCGTTGATGACGAACTGCTGCTCAACGGGCAGAAGGGAGTTGAAGAACAGACGGGGCTGACTCCACACATCGGCAAAGGTGCTTGAGACGGCTCTGACAAGCTTCCCACTGGTTCCGCGGCTTGGTGCTGTGAAGAACCCACGACCGGTGCTCTGGTTCGCTTGCTTCGGGGAGCCTTCGTTGAGAGTGTTAGGGGAGTAGGCGGCGGTGTTGAGTGGAATGTACATCTGGCCGGCACCGTCCCTCTCGTTGTTGTGAACCGGTACGCGAGGCTGGTTGATAGGAATTTGCTCGAAGTTGGGCGATCCCATGTTGCGGTTGAGTTGCGTGTCAAGGTATGAGTACCTATACATGCGTCAGTAACAGTCTCACTTCAAGTGTGTATAAGAGGCATTATACTAACATTCTTCCCTGCAGGAGCGGGTCCTCAGTGATGTCCACTCCGCGCACCAGATGTCCTGGCTGGAACATGATTTGTTCAGTCTCGGCAAAGTAGTTGCGTGGGTTGCGGTTCAGGGTCAGCTTTCCAAGAGGTGTGAAAGGCACAATGTCCTCAGGTACGATCTTGGTAGGGTCAAGAAGATCAAAGCCCCATCGAAGCTGATCTTCCTCTTCCATGATCTGAGCCTCAAACTGTGGAAATCTAGTTAGCTATCATCGCTTCTGAACAAAGGTTGGAGTCACTTACCACCCACTCAGGGAAGTAGCCCTTGTCGATGGAGTCGAAGAGGTCCTGTCGGTGCAAGTCTGCGTTCATACCAGCAGCCATTTGCGCCTCTTCCCAAAGGAGCGAAGCCTTCCCTTGGAGGGACCTGAAGCGAAACTTCACCAGCTTGGACTTTCCGGCGTCAGTCACGAATCGGAATGTGTGGATACCCCATCCATCTGTGTGCCTGTAGCTTCGGATGGTACCATGACCAGACATAGCCCATAGAAGGGTATGCATGGAAGATGGTTGCTGACTGAAGAAGTCCCATGCGGAGTCGTGAGCCGTTGCCGCTTGAGGAATCTCAGAGTCGGGCTTGGGCTTTACCGCATGGATCAGGTCTGGGAACTTGATGGCATCCTGAATGAAGAAAACAGGGATGTTGTTTCCAACAATATCTACAGGGAGGCGGCGTCAGCAAGATTAAATCTTCTCGAGGTGCTCAGGCTGGATACTTACCAAAGTTGCCCTCATCAGTGTAGAAGCGCACAGCAAAGCCGTGCACATCTCGGACTGTATCGGCCGATCCACGCGAACCAGCCACAGTTGAGAATCGAATGAAGGTGGAGGTCTCCTTACCGGGTGCGTTCAAGAAAGAAGCTCCCGTGATGTTGGACCAATCTCCATAGGAAACAAAGGTTCCATGGGCACCTGCTCCACGAGCATGAACAGCACGCTCAGGAACGCGCTCATGATCGAAGTGCATGATCTGTAGAGATGTGGAGTTAGTATGAATCCTAATGACTGATGTTGTTATGAGTACACCTCACCTTTCGTCGAAAGATCTGGTCCTCCAGTAGTGATGGGCCGCGTTCACCAGCCTTGAGAGCATTCTGGTCTTCGATTGGCCCTCCAACGGGACTGGTCAGGTAGGTACCTTTGTCGTCGACTTCATACTGGGCCATGAACTCATCCGTGGACATAGCTTGGGGGCTGTCATCTCGACGAACGACAGACTCGCCATCCATGTAGGGACATCCTGCATTGGCAACGCGTAGCAGTGCAGTGACCGCTGTCAAGATTTGAGTCCTCATCTTGAAGTAGGAGATGTTCTGTGAGACGTGAAGAGTGCAAAAGGGCGGACCTAGGCGATTTATACTGTCACCCTGCGTCTCTAGGTCACGCCAACAGACGTGCTTGGTACCTGTACCCTTCTAAAGCTGCTAGCTTGGACCCTGGTACTCTGCAGTCCTGGATTATCAAATGAAAATACTTGCATTTGAGCAGGCGAGCATCATGGCAGGTTTGGGAAATTCCCAGGCTAGCGGTGTCCACTCACGACTGGTCTATTAGAGGCCTCGGGATGTTTGTATGGGTCCCAAGCCATAGGTGGATCGAAACGGCTGCATGTAAATGATGCACGCGTAAGTCCACAACCGGCCAAACTACCGTCTTCACCTCTGGGGGAATCCTCCGTCGTACACTGCCGTACGTCGTTGCGCCGCACCGACGCCGAGATTTCTTGAATAGGGATCAGCGCCTTTGGTGACCCCTGCAAGCCCCAGCCGGCGAAGAACTCAAGCCTACACTAGACTGCCGTCTTTTATGTTGAGCGGCAATTGCTAGCAGAAAAACTGCAAGTTCGATATATCTCAGTTGATGTGGATTGCTGTGCCACAAAAGCCAAGAAACATCCCGGAGCTATGTTATCGAGTCGAGAAACCTACTGCCTCTCGGCGCCTTCAACAGGCTGTCGCCGAATCCCAAACCGCGCCATTAAACACAGAAACATCCGATTAGTTGCGCGGCGCCAAGCCGGTGCCGTCATTCTTCTCCAGAATGGTCGCCCACCCGAAGTAGATCCATCGTCGGTGCTTACCTATGTTCGTGGTCCAGCCCCGGATTGGTAATTCGGATTGGTCCATTTTGCCAAGTCCACGACTAGGCGTAAGGACGCTTGGCTTGACGGTACGCAAAATAGCACCTTTCCCCTGTGCAAGCGCCCAAATGCCATGTTGTTGGTGGTCAGCTTGCAGAATGAAAGCATCTCATCACACTCCAAGCATTGACGGATTCAGCCTGTTCCTAAATAGCAACACGCACCGTGCCGCAGAGATAACCGAACCGTCGAACGGATGCTCTCGTTCGCAGTCGTCTAGGTACCTAGGTGGCGACGATGCGTATCGACGATGTTACTCGGGGTGGAGCCACGGCTCTGTAGGGCTACAGCAGCAAAGATCATGTGATGGATCAGCACCGCCCCGAGCGTACAAAAGATGGCATTGCGTTCCAAATACCAGTTGTAGCGGTGAGCGTCTGGTGAGCGATACAAAGTAAAATGATGGTGGCCCGCGGAGATGAGGTCGACAAGCGTTGTTGCGAACACATATAGGCGTCAACGAACCTTGGAATAGTAGTCTTTGGTCACACCAAACATGCTCGTCGCAGTCTGGATCGTCACCCGACGCGGCGGGAAGGATTCACTGAACGTCGCACCGACAAGATAACGGCCTGGGAGGCCAATTATGCGGCCTGAACAGAGCCACACCTGGAACGCCTTCACGAACGTTAAAGCAACATGCCCAGGTGGCCACAAGCGACCTTCTGCCTTTCGGACATGAGTGCGCGTATGTATTAGCCTCGCATCCAATTCAAGCTCGTCGAGTGATGCAAGTACGCGCTCTGCGACAACGAATAGGCCAGAGTATCGCTAGGTAAATCAGCATTCTAATTTGTTCCTGGAGATGGTGTTGCGAACCCACAGAGACTATCCTATCGCAAGCCAAGAGATTGAGTACCAGCCGTGTACCGTGGGGCGTGTCAAATTGTTGCATCTCATTTGACCGCCCACATACCAGAAGAAGAGAGTACCTAGTTCTTGTATCTGCCTGAGATATGGTAAGTCTTGCACGCTGTGTGATCAGTAATCGCGATAATATTGATAGTAATATAGGCCTTCAGTTGTAGTACTTGATCAAAGTTTAGTCCTGTGGTCTCGAGGCGCTGCAGCGCATTGGACAATCCTAGAACGCTCTGAGGCTATACCACAACCAACAGCGCTTTCGAAGCTAGTGCTTGTAACACCTACTCTGACAGCCTTCAAGGTGACGATGCTACACGGCCTGGACTCGAAATTCTGTACGCCCGTTTACGGCCAAGCCGTCCGATCGATTAAATGCAGAGGAAGCGGAGTAATGAACTTCTCCAGCGTAGGTTGTGCTCACGATGACTTGCTGAATGGTCACGTGCTCAATATGTGCGTGGAACGAACGTGGAAGAGGGTCTCGCGAGGGCAGGCATGGCGACCACCCGAGCTTACCTAGGTACTTCGCCACATGTGGCTGGAAAGGTCGCGAAAACCCACTGATTGCTGGACCAGATTACTGACATGAACTTGAAACCAGGCAGTACCGAGCGCAATGAGTGCAGCGGAGAGGGGCTCGCTATGGCGTACTACAAGTCACAGCGTAGGGAGTCGTTTCCCGGAGAACGGCTCTGTCACGTGCGAGTAATCTCGGGCTAATGCAGGGCAGGGAAGGCGTGGTAGCGGAGATTATGGGCCAACTCTAACGGTGGGAACCCGTCTCGACTACTGGTCCAACGCTGCCCGTCTCCTTACTCGACGTTTTGCACTCGTAGACGTGGTGTCGCATATCCAGCTTCAAAACATTGCAGCTGAACGGGTCCGCTTCCACACGTCAATCAGCCGCACGCACAGCCCCAGTGATCAGCACATCCCGAGGCGCATTCGCTCGCTGATCGCCCCAGAATCGGACCTCTTGTGCAACCGCCGCCTGTTTGAGCGACGTTGTCAACCCCGAGTCTCTGGGACACACTTTACCTTTGACAAAGAAAACACTCAAACACCATGTCGGCCGCCGCAGCAACCAAGCCGCCGGGCACCCCGCGTCGCGAAGTCAACACCAGGACTTCCTCGTCCCCTGGAGCTGCCAACCGCACTCCCCGCTCCTCGACGCCCACTACGAACGGCACCACCCCAGTGTCACGAACACGCTCTGTCCGTGGAGGCGCCAATGGCACGCCAGTCTCAGCGCGCGCGGCTGTCAAGAAGCCTGCCGCATCCTCGAACCTGAGCACCTCACAGGCCGACGCTGCCGATAACGATGCCCGAGATGAGCAGACTGCTCTCCTCCAAGATCTCAAGGAACGCCTGCAAAAGGCAGAGAGCGAGGCAGAGGAGCGACAGAAGCAGGTCGAGATCCTCAACTCTCGCCTCGACGATGCTCTCACCGAGCAGGCCAAGCTTGAAGAACGTGCCCACGAGGAAGAAGAGAAGGTCGAGTCGTTGGAGAACGTAAAGCGCGAGCTGACACGCCAACACCGCGAGCTCGAGGGCATCTACGAGGCCGAACGTGCGCAGATCATCAAGGAGAAGGAGGAGACGCAGTCGCGGGAGGAAGAAATGCAAAACACCATCCAGCGCCTAAAGGAGACCATGGCAAACAAGAACATGCCAACTGGCGAGGCTGAAGAGGAGCAGCACCTGTCTCGAGCCTGTAAGTCACACTCATCGGATCAACGTAGGAGTCATGTAGATACTGACACACCTCGCAGCAAGCTTCCGCAACAATCCATCCCGCACCAACTCCTCCCAGAACCTCGAGAACGTCGCATCCTTCGCACCACCCAACTCGGTCAAGCGCAGCGACTCGCGAAACAACTCGAAGCTCATCCACCAAAAGGACAAGATCATCGAAGACCTGCGTCTCGAGCTCGCCGAATACCAGGTCAAGGTGTTGGAGGTAGAGAATGCTGGCGGCGGACGCATGCGCGAACTAGAGAAGCAACTGCTCGAGACGCGCATGACCAACGCCAGACTCATGGAAGACAACGAAAGCTTCCAGCTTCTGCTCGGCGAAAAGACGCTCAACGGAGACTTGAGCCGCGGCGACTTCCTGCGCGAGACATCCAACACCGAAGACCGCGCACCGTCCCGTAGCGGCCCTTCAACCAGTCTGGCTGACGAGCTTCAGTCCGCCGAGGAAGGCGATGCCGAAGTCGTGCGCAAGCTCGAAACTGAGCTCAGCAGCATGAAGGCGCAGAACCAGGCCCTCACCCTCTACATCAACAAGATTATCGGTCGTTTGCTCACACACCAGGGCTTCGAATCGGTCCTAGGCAACGATGTTGAGAACGAAGGCTCCGGAGGCCCCAACAAGAACAAGGAGCTACCACCGCCGCCTCCCCAAGACAGCGATCAGCCACAAGGATTCCTCCAGCGCGCCAAGTCTGTTGCCATGGGCGGAAACCGCAAGCCACGCCCTTTGTCCATGATGGGTCCTCCCGCCGCGCCCAACCAGACGAGTGCCCATGAGGATCCAGCCACTGCTCCTTCCATTCCTTTGACGCGAAGCACGTCAGGCCGACACCCAAGCGGCAGCCACCACCACCGTCGCTCAACTTCTGAGATTCCGGGCCTTACAAGCAACCCAACATCGCCAGGTATGGTCTCGCCCCGCAACTCTTTCTTCGGTCCGCCAGTCATCTCGAGGGCGCCGTCCGGTCAAGGCCCCATCCCCGAAGACAAAGAAGTGGACACACGGACAGAGTCTTCCTCGGCAAGCCACGTCGACACACCATCTCCACCACAGCAAAAGCTGCCACGCAGTGAGACCACCGGTCCTATGACGGGTAAAGGCATGCGACCTCTTCGCCTCGTCCAGAACGAAGAAGAAGCTTCAAAGGCCCGCAAGGCCGCCAACCGCGCAAGTTGGTTCGGCGGACTCTTTGGCGCCAACCAGCCACAGCAAAACCAGGAGAACGCCTAGTACAACTCACGACGTCCTCCTTGTTAAACAGACAATTTCATGTAAGTACTTCTAGAACGGCGTGCTTGGCTCCTTTGGATACGACGGATGGATCAACGACTTAATGTTGGGAAAGCAATGAGAGATGAGAGATGATGAGGAATCGATTGAATGGGGATGAGCAAACATATATACATTTGTGGGTGAGGGGTACCAGTCATGAGACTTTCTTTGTTGGACTCCTTGCTTGCACTATTCTTGTATACCCCCCTTCCCTGTCTTTTTGGATAGTCTATACTTGCATGTGGGTTTTGGGTTGGTAGTTGGTGCAATGGTATGCTTTTTACTTCTAAATCTTGTTGTCTCTAGGCTTTCATGTGTCTCTATCGTCGTTTTGTGATTGCGCGTCTTTTCCTTGTTTTCTTTGTCGGTGGCTCCGGAGCGCCACGGACGGGGTTCGCATCGTTCTTCCCTTGCATGGAAAGCGCTAAGCTCCTCTTTCGCCCACGCTCACCATCCTCATGCCTCGCTTCCACGACCCCTCCTCCCTCGCCATCCTCCTCCTCACCTACACTCTCGTCACCCGTATCCGTGTCCACAGGCCACCCCTGCATCGCACAACTCAACCTCCGCTTCCTACTCTCCAACCCTTCTAAGCTGTCCACCAAGCTCTTCCTCGGCAGCACACTCAGACTACTCCGTCTGTCCTCACACCTCTCACAGATTCCTCCATCGCTAATTTGCCGTCTCTTCATTCGCGATGGACACCGATTTGGGTCTAGGCTGTGTAGCGCGGCATGGCCGCATTGTGTGTAACGGGTGCGAAGGATGTGGGCGCATGTGTGGGGTTGGTGGGAGGAACAGGTTGAGACGAGGATGTAGCACATTGTTGGGTGTGTTAGGGCAATGCGTTGATATGGTGAGTAGTCGCTGCAGTACGGATGTCGACCGTTCTGGGAGGCGTGTTTAACACATACATTCTCGATGCTGCTTGATGTGAGTTAGTTTGTCGGTTCGATTGTTCCAGTGCACGAGACATTTCTTGTTGTTCCTTCATTCATCATGTGAAGATGCTTAAATGTCGCATTGTTCTTGTCTTGTTCTTTGTGTCTTGTCTACGCTGACGTGTCTCACTATCCTAGTCGAGATGGCAACGTTGAGCAAATTTGTTTACAGGATAATGCGCAAATCACAAGAGCTTTGTTCCGAAGAAGATATGCTCGAAGGTGTGTCGCACTCCCCGCCATTTTCCATTTCATTCGACGGTCGATTGCATCAAGATGTCGTAGAGCATGGAATCATTCTCGTAGCCTCCTGGTGCTGCTACACCAAGGTTGTCACGATGCCGTATTTCTCGCTTGCACAGTGCCTGATCTCCCCATAAGCACTTCCATCGCGACTTCGTCTTTTCTTCTAGATCTGCTATGCTCATCCTGTCAAGGCTTACCCGGTTGACAGTACTGTAAGAATACCGGTAGAGACAACAGTAAACACCCAGAAAGCATTTGCGAATCTCAATAAGATGGTCGATATCCAGAACTTTGGTCGCTTCCGCTTCCTCTGATTCGTAACGCAACGAGTGTATCAACTGAACCGAGAACGGAATTTCGTGAAGTACCCTCTGGCGTCGGCGCTCCTTCCAGAAGCACCACGCCATTTCGGCTGAACATCGAAGCTTGAAACGCCTTTTGCGCACTGCTCTTAGTAGTCGAGCTTCGCCAACCGGGTGGCACCCTCTTGGATAGATTAATAATTGAACAGCTTTGTCGAACGCCGACAACTCCTTAATAACGTCTGCCGGCCATAGTGAGCCAGAGCTCGACCTGTAGGGTAGCCAGATGTCTAACTCTAATGCCTCCAGATTAGGACACGACATTCGGATTGTTCGAATATCCTGTGCTTGTGGAACACTAGAGATGTCTGCGACTTCCCAAGGCCGGGTAATGTTCAGGCCTGTGAGCTGGTCCATTGGCAGCAGCGTAAGCAAGTACCAAGGTACAACTTGGCCAGCGTATTGATCAGGAAGACCGTTATCCCAGGGAGACCGGACTTTGACTTGGCGGAGTGATGGGAATCTCGAAGGGCTTTCGAAGTCGTTGAGACGCGACTCAAGCTCTGTGGCGTCCTCACCATCGCGAGGGAGGAAGGTCAGACTCTCCAACTCTGGTGCTCGCCCGACAAAGGGTATAAGCGACTGGATGTTATACACGCTGAGGAACGTGAGGTCCTCCCAGCCACCTTGAGAACTCCAATGTTGTAGCTCATCATACGAAAAGATGGGAGAGTCCTGTACATTTAGAACCAACGTATCCAGTTTCGGCAATGTATGTGCGCCCATGAACTGCGATGCGGTCGTACAACGGTTGTCGCCTATGCTCTTCGCAACGATACGGAGGTACGTAAGAGCGGTACTTCTGGCAACCATGCCAACAAGACTCTTGCGGAACCCCGCCCAAAATGTACCTTGGTGTTCATCCTTTTCGTATAAAATGATGCTCATGCTAGTGATCATAGATGCAGCAGTATCCATGATAGACAAATTTGGCACCAGTAGCGGTTGAGCGCCCGATTCCGCAGTCTCTTTTGGTTCTCGCCAGTATGTGATAGTCAGTCGTGCTCTACAGAAACGTGTGTGCAACGCGTCGAGCATGGAGACTGGCATGTCGAATGGACTACACCAATTCAACGCTTCCAGATTCACCAACCTGTCGAAAACTCTTTGGAGCTTATCCAGATGACCGACTTGCTTGTCATCCGCACACACCACATGAAGGTCGCGAATCGTCTTTGACACATGAGAATCCGGCCGTTCGAGCCTTCGGAGCAAACGCAGATGTGAGGCTCGGCTGAGGTCAAGGATGGTGTTTCGGTATAGGTGAGGAACGACAAGAACGTAAAACTGTCGCGATACCGAGCAGACGCTGAGAAGGTCCTGTATACTCTGGAGACGTACTTCGGAGAAAACGAGGTCGAGAATCTCGTTAGTTTGTCGCTCGAGAAGTCGCGCTTGCGTCGGCTGTCGAGCGTTTCTTGACCTTCCGAGCTTCATGGTGGGCGGGCTTTGGGGAGAAGTAGACTGGAGGTAGTGGTAAGACCAAGCTCTCTGCTGATGCATGGAGATATCTGTAGGCCGTTTGTTAGAGGGTCAAAGCTTCCTATCTGCCTGATACCATGTCGCAATCTGCTTGTGAAGAACTTACACTAACGCCTGACGCATTCACTGAATTACTGCTGACCTTGTTCGTTCGCATGGTGGGCCATATCCACATGTAAACTAGAATTGTGTAAAACTCCAAGGCAAGAGTATACATTATCAGAGTGACTATCGATTTATCAAGATTTGATAGCGCGTAGGCAGCAAGATACGATGAATGCTACATCGCTCTCACCGTATGTTTTACCTAATCTCGGTCCCCAGCATTTCGAATCGCATAATATAAGTCCAGAATGTCAATAGATGTAGTAACATACGCAAACTCTCCCTCCAGATGTGCTCCGCTCGTTCGAGAAAGCGACGCACTAGCCGAATCCAGATCAGCTACGCCCAAAGATTGTGCAAAGTAAAGTCTTCAGCAAAGCCATGCTCTATATACTTGTATCTTTCGCGTCTTTGTATCTCTTTCTTGTACCCCTTAAGATCCCAAATTCTGTCAAACAGCGGCTGAATCCTGCTCTTATCTCTAAGCTGCTCCATCGACAGCAAGTCCAGCTTCTTTCTTTTGTCAGGGATATTTCCGCATTGGAACGACGCGCCAGAGTCACTGAGCTGAAAGGTGCAATTAGACTGGACCCATTCTCCCTCAGAACGTCTATCTATCCTCATAGCGAGGAATTGCATTCGGAAAGGCCTTTGGCATGGGAGACCCAGCCCTCTACGCTCTTCCACTACGGTGTCGAAGAGGATCTTGCACATCCTGCAAAATTTTCCGTAGAGCTTCGAGTGAAAGAACTGTAGTCGCATGTACAATACTAGCACGATCGGGTTTTTGAACAGAGAGAGTTCTGCGAAAACAGCTGCACACTCTGAAGTCATCGCGGATAGATCGACGTTGAGTTTGAGTACCTGTAGATCGGGGCAGAGTATCCGAACCCTTCGTATTTCTTCCGCAGTTGGCGTGAAGAGCTTCCTGACTCCACGCGGACAATCGAGCTCTCGGGTCAAGTGTAATCTCTTGAGTTCGGGATTTGATTCCAGTATTATGAAAGGAACCGCGCGACGGGTGTGTGAGAGAGGCTGTGGAGTAAACTGCGCTTGACCGCTATAAGAAACATGAAGTAGTTGAGACAGAGGATTGGCTTTCAATAGTTTGACTAGCTTAGCCTCGTCGTCACTGGTGTCTATGCGATAGTCGAAATGGAAACTGAGGTGCTCGAGCTGAGGGGCCAGGCCTATGAAGTGCCCTGCATTTTCGGGTTAGTACATGAGCAAGTTTGTAGAGGAAAACAAAGGTACGTACGAAGCTGATGTATATTGTGTAGATGTAGAAGAGAAAGCTTGTCCCACTTTCCTCTCGAAGCCCACAGCTGCAATTCACCGCAGGTGAAAATGGTAGTATGAAGTAATAGCTCGTCGATACAAGGAAAGCTGCTGTTGCGAAATAACTCTAGCCTCTGTGGAAGAGCCTCGATATCCTCTGGATCCTCGTTGAAGATAGCCAGCGTCATTAGCGTGTGTTTCCTCGCCAACCATGCAACGAGGTTCTCCTTGAAGCCGGCGGTAAGTCTCTGTACCCCATGGTAGCGATAGACGAATGTGTTTATTTGGAGACCAATCCGGTGAGCTAGGACATGGCCATTCAAACGACCCACGTTTGACCGATGCCTGGGAATGGGTTTCCAGACAGAGATGTTCAGATGAGCTTGAGGGTGTTGAGAAGCTATTATCTCAAGGAGGTAGTACGGCAATGCTATAGGGCCGTTCCAGTCAAACTCCCGTAGATACTTAAGCCTAGTGAGTAGGGTAGCTAGACAATCCCATCGTATCGTAAGATCTCTCTCAGTGTCAGTGATACCGAGGGTTCTTATCTTCTCCGCAAGGCGACAGTTGGGCCCCGCCAAGCGCTGTAGTAGACGGTTATGGGATGCTCTTCCGACATCAATCCTGACCTCGCGGTATAGATAGGATGCGACGAATAGGTAGAGCCCGCGTGAGACTAGGGAAAGGTTGACGAGGTCACGAAGATCATTCGTACAAAAGTGTTCAATGATCAAGCTCAGGATTTCCGGGCTGAGACCCCCAAGCCTATGCGGACCTTTCGGCTTCGGTTTGAGCCTGCGCAAGAGTTGCATTGTCGTGAATGAATGGGCTGCTAGAAGATGTAAGCTTGAGTGCCACCGTCGCCAACCCTGATTCCTCACCTCTCTTCCTATCGTTAGCTAGATATGATATTGAAATTTGGAGTTCGTCTGCTCGTGCATTGGGGTATTGGTTCTGGTCGGCATAGGCTTTTGCATGAGGAAGCCTTCAAAATCGCGAAATATCTTCATAACCAATATCGGTGTCTACTTGGCGAGCATTTTCTTCGCTACCGAACAATTTTGAATATGTTCGGATGTAGTGGATCGTTCCGGTATACAGACCTCGTCAATCCAATGGGAAGTCCTCGATTGCAGATGCAGGTGCCGCGCCGGCCGAAAGGTCCATAGAAGTCCGTGACATTTTGATCAAGGCGCATGGCTGCTCGGGGTGCGCGATACCGGCACAGATATTTCCTGATGGGAACGATGGTGTGGGAAGGACTGAGTACCCACAAGGTGGAGAGTGGAGAGCTACTCCTATCGGAGAGTGGCCACTGCGTCCATGGATGGAGCAGGCGCTAACCGTTCTTGTCTGCAATAGAATGAAAGTGCAGATACATTTTATCGGATGTTGCATTTGAACACTATCTCGGGTCGGTTCAGACTTAAGAAACCTACCTACGTGTCTGGCGTCTTAATAATCGCGCAATATTGGATGAAAGCGTCTGGAGAACTGCTGACGAAAGCGCATCAGAGCGACCAGCGCAGAACAAAAACTGTGAATACAATGGTTGGTCGTGAATGGGGTATCATATGGAAAGAGAGACGCAAGATAAAAACTCAAAGGGAATAGACGAAAGAGACTTGCACCTTCACGACCGTGTGATGGGCGCTTTCGGTCCCGCAGCGCGTGCGGTCCATTCTTCCAGCCCATGTTCTGCATGCGCCCAATACTCGCGCGTCTTCTTGTACATGGCCATGCGCTCATCAAGCGTGGACACTGCCATGATCTCCTTGAAAGGTATTGGCCGTTCCTGCGCTGGTATATGCTTGAGATCAATCGCGGTGCCCGAATCTATGCGTTTGGTTCTTGCGGGTGGCTGCACGCTTGTATTTGAGGTTTGGATGTCGAGAGGCAAAGGCCGTCGCTGCGTCATGAGAGGCACTTGTTTGCGTACGATCGTTTTCTGAGGAGGACCAGGATCTGGAGTTGAGTAGATGGAAGAAGTCGTGGTGAGACGCGCTAGGGCCCTGGTATCTCGTAGTTGCAGATCATCTTGGAATACCAGTTCTGGCAGAAAACGGGATTCGGGAGTAGGTGGCTTCGAATTCGGCGCTGTATCATACAGTTCGCGGTCTAGTCCAACCCTCTGTCGTAGTCGTGATATGCTCGACTGCTTTCTTAAAGGCCTGCTTGTACTGTCGGATCTCCCGAACTGACTGTCCATCTCACTGTTTTTGCCACCGACTTGCGTTGTTTCAGTATGATGCGAGGAAGAGTTGCGCCTCAGTTTGGAGAGACTTCTGCTCAGGGAGACACTTGATCGTCGAAGTGTGCCGCCCACGGTGTCTGCCCGTCTCGGTACTTCAGTCTTCCCAGTAGCAACGAAGGTATGTGAGGGCCTCTCATCCGGTTGGATCGCGGTGGTGTGGAAGTAATCGTTAAGGCTGGCACCGCTACCGCCTAGTACATTCACACCCCCGACGTGTTTAGCATCCATCGGACCCGAGATGACAAGCGCCTTCTTCTTGGCCATAGCTTCGTTGCGGACCGCTATTGCGATAGCGGGGAAAGATGTGAGCCACAGAGGTGTCTGATTGTTGTGTGGCACCAGGCTGGACGCGGCTCGTCTCGAGTGGGTGTGGGTCGTCTGGAGGTTAGACGCGGTGGAACGGAGGATGCGACACTGAACGAATGTGACGATAATCTGGATAGATGAAGAGATTAGCCGCTCCTACTGCCCTTCCAACAAAGAAGGCTACAGCCAAGAGATGGAGCGGTTCTAATGTGGGTACGCGTTGACTGGCAACGACAAGGCTGAAATTGGTATGTCAAGCAAGAACACTCCCGGGAGTTGGTATCTTTCTTCCGAATATACCGCCTCAGACTTACGATGATGGAGCCGCAGTGATTCGGAAGCGCTGTGAGATTCAAGCTGTGGCTGTTCCCTGGGGTAGATCATGTTGCCTGGTTTGGGTCATCTGAGACGCACGACGTTGCGAGAATGTAAGACGTCCGGATACTATCAGAGATGTCTCATAACAAAACAGACGGGAGATTGCCCATGACGCAATAAAAACATAGCCAGGCTACCCTAACATCCAAGGCATATGGCTGTGGCGTTGTTCTATACACGTGGGTTGTCGGTCGCTCGTCGGAAACACGAAATCCCGAACATCGCACGCATAGCATTCGTGATAGATTTTGGGCTCCAGCTGGGCGATCTCGGTTAATATCGACTCTCTTCATGACGGATGGTAGTTCTGATACACACGGTGTGCGTCTTGGCATTCTATACGTCTGGATCATTGGGGACAGCGGGTAGGTCGAACCCGAATGTTATCCGTACAGCGTACTCGTGCTCTGTACCATCGAAGGAATATACGGTAGTGTCGTGGCTCTTGTGTACCGAGATCCCTTCCCTGCCCGCCCTTATGGCCGTTCGATTGTACTTCGGATGGAAGGTGCCGGTTCGAGCGTCGTCGCGGGGCGAAGATGGGAGCTAGAGTCCGCAGGAGGAATGTTCTATCATGACAGCTGCAAGTGGCACTCCTATGCGAACGTGATTCAGCTAGTCGGCGTCCATCTCAGTACCTTCGCGCTCCTTCCCTCGATGCGCGCGTTCTGAAGGCAAGCGAGGGCGCGACGTCGCGCTGAAGCAAGTCTTGAGACGCAAAAACTACACTGGTGACTTACGGGCGATAACTTCACACACATATACCGTGATCTCCAGGCAGCGACGTTGTTGATGGGGTGGATGAAGCAAACCGCGTTCCGAAGATTCGCCAACGTCTCATCCAGGCTTCCCGAACCTCTTAGCGCGAATCCACCCAACGGCCCTCCGCGCCTCACAAGGTTAGTGAGCCATCGCCACGATCGCGAGGCTGCACGGCAACCACTTCGGAAGGGTCTTCACCTTCTATCCAGGGGTGGTCATCATGCAGTCTCGTCTCGATGCACGGGCAGGTATGGCGGCTCCCGCTACGGAGGCTTGACACCTGTCAGGCAGCGAGCGCTTGAAGCGAAGAACTGCATAGCATGACTGGTAGGACTCAGGCTGTATATAAGGCACAGTGCCTTGCGCTGCATGGAAGAGCATCATCAGCATCCATCTCAGCAAGTCTTTCATTCATCGTCCTTCGAGTCGTTCATTCTATTACCTTCTTTTCATCGTTCCTGGAGAATCGATAGGCCGGTCCACTTTCGCTATATACCCTACTTAGACCCTATTCTTGTTTATTTTTACGATTACGACCGAAAGGAACGATATCGATATTCATCATGAAGAACTCTCTCATTGCTCTTACCCTCATTGGTGCCGCGGCTGCCCGCCCGGCTGCCCTCAAGACCAAGCGTGAGGTTCCCCAGGAACACGCTCACCGCAACGTCATCATCGCCGTCAACGATTTGTTGTTCCAGAACAACCCCGACGACATTCAGGATGGTGTCTTTGCTCTCCTCGGAGCTGCTGCTGCCGCTGATGGTGCTGGAGACATCGCTGATGCCGGTAAGTCATTTCGAACCCATTACACATCTTCAATAAGCTAATCATTTGCAGACTGCCTCCAGCAAGCTGTAGCTGACCAGGCCTTCACCAACGCCAAGGAGGCTGGTGATGTCGAGGGCATGACCATGGCTCTCATCTACCGTGCTCTGGAACGCAACACAGGCTCTGTCGGCCTGGCTTCCGTTCCCTGCGAGTCCATCCAGGCTGTCAACCCTGAGATCGCTGCGCTCCAGCAGCACCAGGACCCTGCCAGCGAGGGAGCTGCGGAGCTCAACAAGCAAATCGCGGAAGAGCTCGCTCGCCAGATTGCCGCTGTCGGTGGAGACCCATTGATGGCCAACGAGGCTTCGACTTTCGCCCCTGGCGAGATCGGCGACCCAACCGGTGCCGGAAACACTTGCGACGACGAAAACGATGATGCGGGATGCATCAACACCCAGAACCTTCGTGTCGATGACCTCACTGAAGATGAGATCGCTGCTGCGGTCGCTGGTGTCAGTGGAGCTGCTGCTGGCAACAGCACTGCCGCCGCTGGTAACGCTACCGACAACGCTGCTGCCAACGTCGGTAACGCCAACAACAATGCCAATGCGGGCAACAACAACGCCGCTGCCGATAACAACGCCTCTGCTGGTAACAACGCCGCTGCCGGTGACGCTGCTTCCGGTGCGGGTGCCGCCTCGTTCGGCGGCTGCGACCCTACCATCACCTTTGGTCTTCCCTCCGACGGCCGTCAGGAGGAGGCCTTCGAGCCCACTGATCTCGCCACTTTCAACCATGGCTCAGCTCAGAAGATTGACATCATCTCCCAGTTCATCTGCTCCCAGATGTCCAACAAGTGCGACGTAGACGCCGCGGCTGTCAGCACCTGCGATGATGCTGCGGCTGCTGCTTCGGGCCTCACAGGCCAGGCTGCTGCCGATGCTTTCAACTCTGGTCTTGGTTTGTAGACGCGGGATGTACTAGATGGATAGAAGGTTGGAGGAGCAATGTAAGACTAGATGATGAGATAGCTTAGATTTCTACTATAGGGGATTTTTTGTATGTTTTGGTACAATTGAGCGAATACCACACATGTTTTCACAGCCTTCTAGATCTACTCCTTCGGAGATCCCGTATTGTGATGTAGAAATCGGCCCAAATGTTAAATATGAACAAAACTGCCTGCACAATTACTACCGTAGAGACCACAACAAGCACGCATACCATCGAGAAAATGACAAATCCGTTCGAGGCGTCCAAAAACGCTTGATTGGTTCCTAGATCAGGCAGACCGGTACCGACTTGCATTGCTGACAGAATTACTGTCAAGAAAACACCAAACGGAATCAATGCCCAAGAGAACCTTCTCTCAAAGAAAGGAGTGTAGGGGCGATATCCGTAAAAATAGCCACGCATAAAATGGGATACAAAGTATCTGGTGCGGTAAATCGTGTTCAGACGGTCGAGTCGTAAGACCCCATAATGGTATCTTCTGTTCACCTGATGGCGCCGCTTGTAAGCATCTCAATCTCATAAATTGAACATGATCTACTTACCTGATGCAAACGATTAACATCAACATGCTCACAGAAGCTTCTAATGAAGAGTTTCCACTGACCCCAGGTTATAGAATTTGGTAGAAGAGTAAGATCTAGTGCGACTTGAAGGTCCAAGGGTGTCGTGATTAGCCATGTGTAACTTACCAACAGCCCCGCGGCTGATTGCCATAACCGATCCTCATGGCAAATATGTTTCGACCAGAATTCGTGAGAAAATATCCAGTAAGGAAGTGGTTTCACCCATAGCTTGTTTGGAGATCCTTGGTACTTGATGAGATGTAAATCGATCTGTTGCGTGCCTAGGATATCGTATCCCAATAGTCGGTATCGATGCAGTGGACGTGCCGCCATCGGTCTTGCCGCGAGCCACAGATGATCGTGAATCATATTGAGCCGATGGAGGTTCAGATCGTCCTGTAAAAAGGTCGATGGATCATCGTTCGCGAGGAAAAGCACGTGACGACGTCCCACAAGCGTCGGTAATGACTCTAATGCTTGCTGATAGTTCGGTCCGGAAGGCAAGCTGGGGTCATTCACGGCATTGTTGCCACATGAGGGCTGAACGGTCGCTGACGAACTCAGTGTCGCTGAGAAAGGTGGTGGAGATGCCGATATCTGAAGTCATCAGCGTCGTACACGTCAAAAACACGCCAGCAGTTACCAAGTCCTCCATTGGAATACCAACGGTTTGCCCAGTCATAGACATTGGGCCAACGCAGAAAACCCCTCACTTCGCATCGAAGAAGAATAGGTAGGCTAGTTATATGTGCACCGAAGGAGAAGGCTGAGTTAGGAAAGCTGACACTGCAGCTTGGCTGAGAGAAAAGCAGATAAGACAACCAAGCCACCGCCACTATGCTGATGGCGTCGAGTTAGATCTCTACTGACAACGCCTTCATCGTGTTTCCTGCAGGATGTTGTAGAGGCGGAGCGCAGGCATGATGCTGCCTAGATACGTACAGCATCGCTGCGGCACTAACATACTCGACATCGGGGTATGAAACGCTGCATTCCCATCGCACCTTCTTTGGATACATCGTGAGGACATCCTGTGGTTTGTATATGAGCGATAAACTGCAAGACAGTCTTGCTTATACATTTCTGTACATTGTGATTCAGATGGTTGATAGGAATCGACGCGTCCTGTTTCGCAGCACAGAGATCGTACTGCCATGACATGATATCCATATTGGTTGCTCCTCAAAAGAGATCAACGCTGTAAGTTGCTCGGTAATGTATAACATGTTTGTGAGCAGCGGATGTCCTAGGAAGGCGCGGCGACGGTAGAGCACCTGTCACTATTAGATGTGGTGCGCGCGTCGCGAAGTGTGTCCTCATTACCCGATGAGCTAATACATGTCCGATGATCGCCTGATCTGCTGGAAGCGAGCGTGGGCTTCAAAGCTGTTCACGAGGACGTGAAGCCCCGCACTATCGACTATTGAAGGTGTTAAATGCCTATAGTACAGCCACTGGTATTCCTAGAAC